TCTTTTTCCTGGTATAGTATAATAAAAGGGACTGGGCCCTATTCTACTTATCCTGCTTATGGGCAGGTGCCATTTATATAACTTCCTTTCAACATTTCTCTTTACAAACATTACCCTTCCTCACAAACCTTACAACTTGCAGAACCCACTTTTTTTTTCCTTCAAAATGACACGAAAACCATAATTTCTTTCCAATTAGAATTCTTAACCCTTAGAAACCTTAATTTTTAGGTGACATGTAAGTAATTAACATTCCTTAGATTAGCAGTGTATTCATATTTTTAAGAGATATTTTAAATAAAATACAAGACTTATTCATAAAAAAAATAAATAAAACAGACTTGACCACCAAAAGTAATGTTTTATACTTTATGATTAGTTTGTCTAAGCTTATGTTATTTGACATAAGAGATTGTATAGCTTATTCCTATAAAAACTCCTCAGCACAGGCATATTTATATATCTAGATATAGATTGAAGAGACCCTAAGATAGCTTGTAAATTATAATATGGACATTAAAATAGTACTTTGTAACTTACTCAAATTAAGGCACATTTATAATGTATAAGAAGCCTATAAATCCTCATAAGCAGAATACTTTTACATAATTTCTCTTTTACTAAAATCATTTATGGGTAGATTTTTTTCATGATTTATTATGGTAAATTAATAGAAAGGATTTATAAAGAAGTTTTATTTTTCAGGGAATATTTGTTAAAATATTCAAAGCATTTGTTGCTCCATTAAGTCAATCCAGTAGCCTCAATAGTAAGTATTATTACAAATTCAATTTTCAGTAAAAGTTATTGTTGGCTTTTAGTCTTTTTCTGTTGTTGTTGTTAATCCCCACTAGAGGATTCTCCTTCCCCCCATTGATTTTTAGAGAGAGTGGAAGAGAGAGAGGGAGAGAAACATTGATGTGAGAGGGACACATTGTTTGGTTGCCTCCTGCATTCACCCTGATGGGGGCTGGGGATAGAACCAGCAACCCAGGTATGTGCCCTTGCCCGGGAATTGAGCCCAAGACCCTTAGGTGGGTGGGCTGACCCTCTATCTAGCACACCAGCCAGGGCAGCTTTTAGTCTTAATTCAACCCAGGAAAAAAAAAATACATTTTTACAAATCTTTAATATGGAAAAATTACCACTGGCTTACCATGATTGATTTTATAATGGGAAGTTTTATCCCAACATTACCAAAAGCCATGGAATAAAGAAAAGTTAATGCTGAATCTAAGACAGTTGAGCATAGGAGTAACTGAAGAATGTCCTAAGTCTAGCTATTATTTACATAATTACAAACTTGGTCTTATAGTTTCCTGGCATATTGAAACAAATAGTATGGAGAAGTATTAGATACCAGTGAAGACTATAATGAGCAGTGAGGAGCAGAAAAAAGATATGACATTACTCAAAGCATAGTAGTAAGGAACCACGTAAGTAACAGCTCTCTGAACTGTAGGAGCTCGTGAGGGCATCATTGTTCTAGTAGAGTAAAATTACTATATATAATAACCTTGTACTGTTAGGAATAGTCATTATATTCCATTTTATAGGAAAAGGAAATAGATAAGTGCACATAAAGAAGTTCATCAAAATGATACTTAAAAATAATTTCTCAGTTCATTCCTCTGGAAAAGTCTTTCAGAATAGTTTATTCTTTAACATTGATTGCATAAGATGTGGTCAGCTATGTGGTAGACCAGTAGTTCTCAGCCTTTTTTAAGAAGCTCATTCTTTCTTTGTTTTTATTGTGGTAAAATATACATAACATAAAACTTAACTGTTTTTACCATTTTTAGGGTACAGTTCAGTGGCTCTCAGTACATTTAGTGTTATGCAATCATCACCACTATCTGCAGAACTTTTTCATCATAACAGACAGAAACTGTGTACCCGTTAAACATTAGCTCCTCATTTTCCTCCTCCCCCCATTTCCTGGTAACCTTTGTTCTACTTTCTGCATCAATGAATCAAACTACTCTAGGTACTTCATATAAGCAGAATAATACAATATTGATCCTTTTGTGACTGGTTTATTTCACTTCATAATGTCTTTAGAGTTCATCCAAGTTGTAGCATGTTTCAGAATTTCACTCCTTTTTAAGGATAAATAATATTTTACTGTATATTATATATATACTAGAGGCCTGATGCATGAAATTCGTGCAAGGGCCTAGGCCCTGGCCCCCGCCCGCTGCCACCACTGTGTCCAGGGGCCTCTGCCGCCTCTGCCGCAGCCCCCACCTGCTGCGGCTTTGTCCAGAAAGAAGAACGTCAGAGAGGACGTCCGGTCTAATTAGCATATTACCCTTTTATTATTATAGATATATGCCGCATTTTGTCCATTCATTCTCTTGGGTCACTTTTTTTTTTTTTGCTATCTATATAATAAAAGCCTAGGTGACCGTTACGGCAGAATGACCAGAACGACTGGTCGCTACGATATGCACCGACCACGGGGGGCGTGGGTGGGGTGAAGATGCTCAACTCAGGAGCTGCCCCCTGGTAGTCAGTGTGCTCCCACAGGGGGAACCCCGTTCAGCCAGAAGCCGGGCTCATGGCTGCCAAGCGCAGCAGTGGTGGCAGGAGCCTCTCCCGCCTCCACAGCAGCGCTAAGGAGCAGCGAGCCGAGCGGTAAGGGGCAGTGAGCGGGTGGGTGGTGAGGAGTGAGGAGTCCAGGACTGCGACAGGATAGGGATGTCCACCTGCTAGCATAGGGAGTGGGCCTAAATCAGAAGGCAGACATCCCCTGAGGGCTCCTGGACTGCAAGAAGGCGCCGGCCGGGCTGAGGGGACCCCCGACCCCCACTCCCCCAGTGCACGAATTTCATGCACTGGGCCTCTAGTTATAAATAATACAAACGGTTCTCCATTTCATCAGAGCAAAAAGCCTTAAAAATCCTTTCAATGGCTTACAATGCCCTGTAGGATTTGCCTGCCACTATCCTGCCCCCACTGCTTATCTCTTTGAGCTCATTTCCTACTGCTCTTCTGTTCTCATTTTTCTTCAGCCAAATCAGCCTCCTCCTTTTTTAATAGAACAGGTACATTCTTGCTTCAGTGCCTTTGAATCAGCCTTTTGTGGTAGGGTTAGTACTAGAACAGTGATGGCGAACCTATGACACCATTTTGGTTGATTTTTCTTTGTTAAATGGCATTTAAATATATAAAATAAATATCAAAAGTATAAGTCTTTGTTTTACTATGGTTGCAAATATCAAAAAATTTCTCTATGTGACTCGGCACCAGAGTTAAGTTAGGGTTTTTCAAAATGCTGACACGCCGAGCTCAAAAGGTTCGCCATCACTGTACTAGAATAATATTCCTCCAGATAAATTCCTAATTCATTCCTTCTTTCAGTATTTGCCCAGTTGCCTGGCCTGACTCCTTTAAAAATGCAACCTCCCTCACCACTCCCAAATTTCCTTATGATCTATTTTTTCTCCGTAGTACTTATTTTCTAACATTATTTAATTAGCTTATTTATTATGCACACTTACTGTATGTCTCTCCCACTAGAATGTAGGCTGGTAGGGGGAGGGTTTGGGCTTTTTGTTTGATTGTTTTGGGGGGATGGTTTTGGTCTCTCTCTCTTTTTTAAATGTAGCTCCATTGCCTAGAACAGAGCCTGACACTGAGAATTTAGTAAATATTTATTGAATTAAATAATAGGAACCTGAAGCTCAACAGTAAATTGTCTAAGGTAGGTGCCACAGCTTGGATAACGCCTTTTTCTTCACCTTCGTTGTCTCCCTTCCTCATGTGTACATGGCTGTGTAATGTTATATGCTATATTATAACCCAGGTTTTCTGAATCTTCACAGGGTTGATTAACACAAGACTGCAAGCTTAGAACTTAGCCAGTTTTTTACATATTCTTATTTAACTTTATGTTATTGCAGACCAGTTTGGTGGCACTTGCAAATAGTTACAATGCATATATACTTTGATCCAACACTTATTTCTAAGAATCTAATATATAGAAACATATTTCACTAGTGCATAAATTTGCTCACTGACTTGGAGGTTCATTGCACTATTACCTAAAAGAGCAAAATAAAATGCAGACAACCTAAATATTTAAATAAATTATGGCACATCCTTAATATAGGATACACTGCGAGTATTAGAAAAAAGAATGGGAGGAATCTGAATATACTGACCTGGAAGAATATTTATTATATATTGTGAAATAATAACAAATGTAGGACATATATAGTACAATTCCATTATTTTTTTAGAAAGATTGGATAGCATAGGAAATATAGTCAATGATATTATAATAATTATGTGCCAGGTGGGTACTGGAAATATTGGGGAATCACATTGTAAAGTATATGATTATCTAACCACTATGCTATACACCTGAAATTAATACAAAATAATATTGAATGTAAACTGTAATTGAAAAATAAAAATTAGAAAAAACCATACATATTGATTGTTTTCAAGAATTCTCAAATTTTTAAGCTTTAGCTTTTTGTATTTGCTTGAGATTAAGTTGATAATATCAATAATGATTTTTAAATTAAAAAGTGAGTAAAATTTGAAAGTAAACAAAAATAAAGGGTCCCTTCAACTATACCCTCCACTGCTTCCATCTGATATCACATTTATAGACAAAACGGAAAGTTTATCATTAGCAAAGAACGTTTGGACTCTGAGGAAATATTCATTGTTTACAGATTCACTCTAGTTCATTTACCACATTAAATTAAATCTGTTAAAATTATTCATTAATTCATAATTTTCTTTCAGGTTCGATCTGGGGCCAATGTTCTAATTTGTGGTCCAAATGGCTGTGGGAAGAGTTCACTTTTCCGTGTTCTTGGTGAAGTAAGTACAAATTGGCCTCAAAATTTTGCAGTTTTATTTTGCCATATGTTCTACCACATTGTGAAATTTACTATTGCTCATCCCACTTCTTTCCTTTTATAGTTATGGCCTCTTTTTGGAGGACGTCTAACTAAACCTGAGAGAGGAAAGTTATTTTATGTTCCTCAGGTAAGACCTTGAGTTATTTTGTAATCTTTAATTTAAAGATACTTTTACTTATTGCTTAAAAATTGACTTCTAATGAATTTTGGTCTGTTATCAGAGACCTTATATGACCCTTGGAACCCTTCGAGACCAAGTGATATATCCAGATGGAAGAGAAGATCAAAAAAGGAAGGGGATATCTGACCTAGTACGTAACGGTTTATATCTCAGACCTGCTGAAAATACTATGTTTAAGGTTCTTTTTCTTAACCAGTTACGTACTTTAAATTTTTTTAATTATTTTTTATTTTTTTAAATTTTTTATTAAGTTATTACATATGTGTCCTTATCCCCACGTTACCCCTATCCCCCCTGCTCATGCCCTCACCCCCCTGTTGTCCGTGTCCATTGGTTAGGCCAAAATGCTTGCATATAAGTCCTTTGGTTGATCTCTCCCCCTTACCCTCACCCTCCCCTACCTTCCCTCTGAGGCCTGATGGTCCGATCGATGCCTCTCCATCTATGGATCTGTCCTTGTTCATCAGTGTATGTTGTTCATTATATTCCACAAATGAGTGAGATCATGTGGTATTTATCTTTCTCTGACTGGCTTATTTCACTTAGCATAATGCTCTCCAGTTCCATCCATGCTGTTGCAAATGGTAAGAACTCCTTCTTTTTTACTGCAGCATAGTATTCCATTGTGTAGATATACCACAGTTTTTTAATCCACTCATCTCCTGATGGGCACTTAGGCTGTTTCCAAATCTTAGCTATGGTGAATTGTGCTGCTATGAACATAGGGGTGCATATATCCTTTCTAATTGGTGTTTCTAGTTTCTTGGGGGTATATTCCTAGAAGTGGGATCTCTGGGTCAAATGGTAGTTCCATTTTTAATTTTTTGAGGAAACTCCATACTGTCTTCCATAGTGGCTGCACCAGTCTGCATTCCCACCAGCAGTGCACGAGGGTTCCTTTTTCTCCACATCCCTGACAGCACTTGTCGTTTGTTGATTTGTTGACGATAGCCATTCTGACAGGTGTGAGATGGTACCCCATTGTTGTTTTGATTTGCATCTCTCGGATGATTAGTGACTTTGAGCATGTTTTCATATGTCTCTTGGCCTTTCTTCTGTCTTCTTTCAAAAAGTATCTATTTAGGTCCATTGCCCATTTTTTGATTGGGTTGTTTATCTTCCTTTTGTTAAGTTGTATGAATTCCCTGTAAATGTTAGAGATTAAACCTTTATCGGTGATAACATTTGCAAATATGTTCTCCCATTCAGTGGGCTTTCTTGTTGTTTTGTTGATGGTTTCCTTTGCTGTGCAAAAGCTTTTTATTTTGATGTGGTCCCATTTGTTTTATTTTCTCTTTAGTTTCCAATGCCCTAGGAGCAGTATCAGTGAAGAAATTGCTTCAGCATATGTCTGAGATTTCGCTGCCTGTGGATTCCTCTAGTATTTTTATGGTTTCCCGTCTTATGTTTAAGTCCTTTATCCATTTTGAGTTTATTTTTGTGTATGGAGTAAGAAGTTGGTGGTCTAGTTTCATTTTTTTGCATGTATCTGTCCAGTTTTCCTAACACCATTTATTGAAGAGGCTGTTCATGCCTCCTTTGTTGAATATTAATTGAGCATAGTGGTTTGGGTCGATTTCTGGGTTCTCTGTTCTATTCCATTGATCTATATGCCTGTTCTTGTGCCAGTACCAGGCAGTTTTGAGAACAGTGGCTTTGTAATACAGCTTGATATCTGGTATTGAGATCCCACCTACTTTGTTCTTCTTTCTCAGGATTGCTGCAGCTATTCAGGGTCTTTTTTTATTCCAGATGAATTTTTGGAAAGTTAGTTCTAGGTCTGTGAAATATGCCGTTGGTATTTTAATGGGGAGTTCATTGAATCTATAGATTGCTTTGGGTAGTATGGACATCTTGATGATGTTGATTCTACCAATCCATGAACATGGTATGTTCTTCCATCTGTTTATGTCTTCCTCTGTCTCCTTTTTCAGTGTCCTGTAGTTTTCCATGTATAGGTCTTTTACCTGCTTAGTCAAGTTTATTCCTAGGTATCTTAATTGTTTTGGCGCGATGGTAAATGGGATTGCTTTTTTAGTCTTTCTTTCTGTACATTCATTATTGGTGTATAGAAATGCCATAGATTTCTTGGCGTTAATTTTGTACCCTGCTACATTGCCGAATTCATTTACTAAGTCTAATAATTTTTTGATGGAATCTTTAGGGTTTTCTGTGTACAGTATCATGTCATCTGTGAATAAAGACAGTTTTACTTCTTCTTTTCCAATTTGGATGCCTTTTATTTCTTCTTCTTGTCTGATCGCAATTGCTAGTACTTCCAGTACTATGTCGAACAGGAGTGGTGAGAGTGGGCATCCCTGTCTTGTTCCTGTTCTTAGGGGAAATGGTTTTAGTTTTTGCCCATTGAGTATGATGTTGGCTGTGGGTTTGTCATATATGGCTTTTATTATGTTGAGGTATGATCCTTCTATTCCCACCTTGCTGAGTTTTTATCAAGAAAGGGTGTTGGAATTTGTCAAATGCTTTTTCTGTGTCAAATGACTATGTGATTTTTATCTCTCAATTTGTTTATGTGATGTATCACATTTATTGATTTGCAGATATTGTACCATCCTTGCATCCCCGGGATAAATCCTACTTGGTCATGGTGTATGATCTTTCTGATGTAATGCTGGATCTGATTTGCTAGGATTTTGTTGAGCATTTTGGCATCTATGTTCATGAGGGATATTGGCCTGTAATTCTCTTTCATTGTGTTGTCTTTATCTGGTTTTAGTATTAGGGTGATGCTGGCTTCATAGAATGTGCTTGGAAATGTTCCCTCCTCTTGAATTTTTTGGAATAGCCTGAGGAGGATAGGTTTTAGTTCTTCCTTGAATGTTTGGTAAAACTCCCCTGTGAAGCAGTCTGGCCCCGGGCTTTTGTTTGCTGGAAGCTTTTTGATGACTGCTTCAATTTCTTCCATAGTTATCAGCCTATTGGGACTTTTAGAATCTTCCTGATTGAGTTTTGGAAGGTTGTATTTTTCTAGGAATATGTCCATTTCCTCCAGGTTGTCTAGTTTGTTAGAATAGAGTTGTCCATAGTATTTTTTAACAATCCTTTGCATTTTTGTGGGGTCTGTTGTTATTTCGCCTTTTTCATTTCTGATTTTGTTTATTTGGGTCCTCTCTCTTTGCTTCTTGGTGAGCCTGGCTAGAAGTTCATTAATCTTGTTTATCCTTTCAAAGAACCAGCTCTTGGTTTCATTGATCTTTTGTATTGTTTTTTTTCGTCTCTATGTCATTCATTTCTGCTCTGATCTTTATTGTCTCCTTCCTCCTGGATACTGTGGGCTTTTCTTGTTGCTCTCTTTCTAATTCTTTGAGTTGTAGAGTGAGATGATTTATTACCGGTTTTTCTTGTTTTTTTTAAGGTAGGCCTGTAGAGCTATAAACTTCCCTCTCAGGACTGCTTTCACTGTGTCCCATAGATTTTGGATTCTTGTGTTTTCATTGTCATTCATTTCCAGGATGTTCAGTTACGTACTTTTTATGCCAGGCAGTTTAATCCTAACCTGTAGAGCTTTTAAAGCTTTGACAGTAATTATATTTTTCAAGTTGAGGTAAGATGTTAACCACTTTGCGTAAATATGACTCTTGAGTGTTTAACCTTGTTTACAATATTATTTATTTTCTCATTGCTCTTGTCCTTTAATTATGTAGAGTAGTATCCTCCCTAAACTGCTAGATATATTTTGTCAAAATTAGTATAGATAGGAAGTAAAGAGTTCAGGGCTACCCTTGTGCCACATTTTTGTGTGAAATGTACCTCTTTAAATGATATTGGCAATAGAATTATAGTGATTTTAGTTTAAAAAATAAAGCAAGATAGAGAATGTTGGTATATTATTACATTTGATTTCATCTTTAATCATTTTTCTGAAAGGTACTGAAGGAATACTTAGATAATGTCCAGTTGGGTCATATTCTTGAACGCGAAGGAGGCTGGGACAGTGTTCAGGATTGGATGGATGTGCTCAGTGGTGGAGAGAAGCAAAGAATGGCAGTAAGTATACTCCGAAGACATTGCACAAAAATGCACCTGTTTGATTAATCAAGGCACATATTTTTACTTGCATATTTTTTTTAACACAGATAAAAATTTATTTAATCTTAGAATAAGAAATACCCTTCCAAGCATGATCCAAAAGTAAAAAACAAGAAAGTTATTGATATATTGGCTACTTAAAACAAAAGAAAAATATCTAAACTACATACTTGAAGTTATGAAAAACTGTGAAAAAAAGAATTCACAACATATATTTTTGAATTATGAATAACTTTTAGAAATCAATGAAAAGATTTAAAAAAACATTAGAAAATATAGTTAAAGCATGGTTAAGCAAGTTAAATCAAAACAGAGAAATACAAATGGCCAATAAACATGAAAAATATTTTACCTCACTAGTAATAAGTGAAATGCCAATTAAAATAAAAATACCTTTTAACCTATAAAACTGGAAAAATTTGAAAAGAATGATAATAACTAGTGTTGATGAGGGTGTGAGATAATAGATACTTTCATACACTTTAAAGAGAATATAAATTAGTTTAAACTTTCTGGAGGGCAATTTGGCAAATTGATACAGCATTTTAAAATGTGTATACTGACATTTAATTGTTCACTTCTAAGTACTTATCCAAAGGAATTAACAGGATAAATGCACAGAAATGCCTGTACAAGAAGTTTCTGTAGTGTATCATTTAACAAAACAAAAGATTGGGAAACCTAGCCTGGCCAGTGTGGTTCAGTGGTTGAGCGTCGACCTATGAACCAAGAGGTCATGGTTCAATTCCCGGTCAGGGCACATGCCTGGGTTGCAGGCTTGATCCCCAGTGTGGGGTGTGCAGGAGGCAGCCGATAAATGATTCTCTCTCATCATTAATGTTTCCATCTCTCTCTCCCTCTGCTTTCCTCTCTGAAATCAATAAAAAAGAAAAAAATTTATTTAAACAAGAAAGATTGGCAAACCTAAATATTTGCCAGTATGGGAACAGGAAGTTATGTAATAATGCAAGAAGATGGACAGAGATGTCCTCACATATTAAGTAAAACAAAAGATTATCTAATGGAATGTATAGCATGATTATATGTACATTTTTTTCTATATGTTTATATTAAAATATAAAATCAGAACACCAAATGTTAATCACTATCATTTCTGGATGTTTCGAATAATAGGGAATCTTTACTTTCTTGTTTATGGCTATCTGTATTTTCTGATTATTCAAAAATAATGAGCATTTATTATTTTTTATTATACTTTCATATTTTTAATGGCAATTTTTATAGTATAGATTAGTTTAAATAATAAAGGTGCTTGAAAGTAACTTGCATGTAAATTTGAAATTTTGAAAAATTTTGAGTTTTCCTGTGAAAGGAAAAACTGCAGATTCAATTATATACCATTAATCCATTTTTTGTAAAAGTTGAGGAAACTTTGTACCATGTTGGTCTTGGGAAATACAGTAATTATGGTTGGGTTATGAGATCTTGTTCAATATCTTTTCCCTACAGACATCTCTTTGTCTTACTCAGGCTATTCTCTGAAGTAGCTGAAGATATTAGAGGTGATCAACCCTAATTTTGTTATAATTTTATTCTTTATTCTGTTCTTGCCCCTTCCCTCTGCCATTATATATATCCTTGTGTCAGGGCTCAGTATCTGCTACTTAAAGTTATTTAGATTTTTAAAGTTTTCCTACTATAAAAAAGCATTTGAGAGGAACTATATTTTAATTTTATGATTGACTAAGCTTATCCTTAATCAAATGTCACTATAGAACAGTACATATTAAGAGTGATACTTGGAGTACTCTGTTAAGAGGGATCACTTCTGAAGAGTCATTTTCTAATGGAATATATCACAGTTTGAGCAGATCCAGAGGAATTTTCAGAATATTAGTCTTGTGGAAGTTAGAGAAAACTGCAGCCAAGGAAAGACGACAAAAGAAATGGCTTATTGCAGAATTTCTTATTCAGTATCTTCAGGTTATATTCTACCTTCTTGTTGCCTCCTACTTCCTGATTTTGCATGTTGTTTTTTCTAAAAGTATACCCATCCTATGCAAACATAATATCAACCTAATATTGTGATTTGTTTGGCTAGTGCTATAATATGAGTATAATTTAGAGTGAAGAATGAACCATAAACAAAAGAGAGATGCCAGCCATATTCAAAATGGAAATTGGGCTGAAGGAGTGAAAATTTGAAGTGATGGGCATTTCTTGAATCAATTTAGAGGATGGCTATAGGAATAACTACAAGTCAAAACAACAAATTTAAATTTCTGTACTGTGACTTCAAAGAAAATGGGAGGATAGTCAAGATTTATAAATGGACACAATGGAAACTCAGGGAAAGAAAAATAAATGTGCATAACTAATGAATCTTGTGTGTGTGGTATAAAGGTATAGAAGGGATAGTTTTTATTTGAAGACAGGAATGCAAGGCCTTGAGGAGTGAGAGGATATCTTACAGAGTAAGGGAATGGGGCCTTAGCCGGTTTGACTCAGTGGATAGAGCATCAGTCTGCGGACCGAAGGGTCCCAGGTTCGATTCCGATCAAGGGCCCATACCTCGGTTGCCCAGGCCTGGGCCCTGATCAGGGCCCGTGCAGAAGGCAACCAATTGATGTGTTTCTCTCACATCGATATTTCTCTCTGTCTTTCCTTCTCTCTTCCACTCTCTCTAAAAATCAATGGAAAAATATCCTCGGGTGAGGATTAACAAAACAAAACAAAAACAAGTAAGGGTGTGGGGAAGGAATCCTGTAAAGCCAGATGGACAGTGATAGAGTTGTTAGGAAAACGGAAAAAGCTCACCCATGGCACTGCTGCATGACCATGCCATTGATAGTATGTTCTGTGTGGGCCAATGTCTGGAGAATTGACCTGGAAATTTAAAAGACAGCATATTGTTTTGCTACTTTCAAAGGTTTTGTGGGGAGAAAGAAAAGGTGAATGCAACAAATATTAACATTGATGAAGTTGGTGAAGTATGTATATTAATTTTACTATTCTTTCATTTATTTAGTAGGATTAGAAATTTTCAAAGTAAAAAGTTGAGTGAAGACAAGACAGTTTTTATAAATTAAAAATTTACATTCACAAATTATAAAAATTATAATTTTTAGGAAGAACAGATTTGAAAGGTTTAACCACCTAAAATAAATAGCGAATTTGTAATAGTGAAGGTTTGTGTAAAACAAATGAACCAAAGGAATTTTGAGCAAGAGAGTAGGGTTTGAATGCGAGGGAATGGAATAATACTATTGAATAATGGGAGGTCTGGTGACAAATTTCTAAAAGTTCCTTTAGTATAAATGTAGGGAAATGAGATTATTATCCCATTATTTTAATAATAAGAAACCTAATTTAATTATGGTATAATTTCCACGGAACTCAATATTAGCCAAGTGTCTGCCCTTATAATCTAGTTAGCACATGGGTGGGGAACGTGTGGCCCTCGGGCCTATGAAATCATTTGGTCTGGCCCTGCCAAGGCATTAGAGGTGAGTTAATTAAATGTTTGACCAAACATAGCAGGCTAATTTTTTAAAATATATTTTTATTGATTTCAGAGAGGAAGGGAAAGGGAGAGAGAGAGATAGAAACATCGATGATGAGAGAGAATAATTGATTGGCTGCCTTCTGCACATCCCCTACTGGGGATCGAGCCCACAACCTGGGCATGTGCCCTTGACTGGAATTGAATCTGAGACCCTTCAGTCTGCAGGCCAACACTCTATCCACTGAGCCAAACTGGCTAAGGCAAGCAGGTTAATTTTTAACAAGTTAACTGCCACACGTCCAAAACGGAAACCATCCCCACAAGCCATGATATTTTGAATTTAATTGCGTCTATAGACACTTATGGTGTACAAAGGGTTAAGTTGATGCTTTTGTATGGCCCGAGAATCTAAACTAATAAAAGGGTAACATGCTAATTAGACCGGACATCCTTTTGGACAAAGCCACGGTGGCGGGGACCGAGACAGAGGTGGTTAGGGGCGATCAGGCCGGTAGAGGAGAGCAGTTAGGGGTGATCAGGCTGGCAGGGGAGCAGTTAGGGGCATCAGGCAGGCAGGCAGAGGCTGTTAGGGGTGATCAGGCAGGCAGGCAGAGTGGTTAGGGGCGATCAGGCAGGCCGGCGAGCGGTTAGGAGCCAGTGGTCCCAGATTGCGAGAGGGATGTCCGACTGCCAGTTTAGGCCCGATCCCACAGGGGTCTCGGATTGGAGAGGGTGCAGGCCTGGCTGAGGACCCCCCTCCCCCCACCCCCCCCCCCGCATGAATTTCGTGCACCGGGCCTCTAGTGGTGTTATAAATATCCAAATGGCCTTTGGCATAAAAAAGGCTCCCTACTCCTGTGTTAGGAGATCCAAATATTCTCAACTAACTGTAATACAATGGCAATATATAACTACCAAAAAAGTGCACTGGGAAAATGATGAGGAAAAGTAGATTGTGACTGGCAGATTCTGTTTAATTCTTCCAGCAGCCCTGTGAAGTCATTTGTTAGACAAAGGATCAGAATAAATAATTCCCAGAAAATAAAACACATATAGAAAGTAAACGTGAGAAAATGTTCAGCATTTCTGCTAATCAAAGAAATGTAAGCTATAACAATCTTGATGTTAATTTTTACTTACAAAATTAGCAAAGGCTTTAAAAACGAACAAGCTGATGAAACAGGTGCACAAAAAATTATTGGTGGGAATATTGATAACAATATTAATATTGACAATGTAATATTAATGGGCATTACTTAAGCAACAAAACATTTAAAGGTAGACATTTTTGTACCTGAGCCATTTATGAGTCTGACTTGTAAGATTTTTGGTTTAAATATGTACCCTTTAATCTTGTGTAGAGAACTTTCTTTAATATTAGTTGAAACTCTACTTCACCTCATATCAGTCCTGAAAGTTTTGTTTTACTCTGAACAATATTTCCTATGCATTACATTTCTCTTTTTGTTCAGGAAATAATAGAAACAACTAGGTTTATTTACATTGCTTTCATTTCTGGGAAATAGATTTTTTGAGTTAGAATAATTTTCATATTTGCTTTATAAGACTGTAAGTGCATACTTAATTTAAAGTAAACCTATTTTAGCTTATTAACTTATGCATGTGATTATACAAAATATTATTATTTTTTTGCTTCAGATGGCAAGATTATTTTATCATAAACCCCAGTTTGCCATTTTGGACGAGTGCACCAGCGCAGTGAGTGTGGACGTGGAAGGCTACATCTACAATCACTGTCGAGAGGTAAGTGGACAGGTTTGCAGTGTGAGGGTCCACGTCCTCCTTCCTGCTTTACTCTGTGTCCAACCAAATAGCTACCCAAAGAGAAGATTCTAAATTATTAAGTAACAAAATTACTATCAAAGGAAGATATCTCGCTTTAGCAAGGACTTTAAGGTGATTATAGATATAAGAAAAAGTAAATGAATTCTGTATATAATTCTCTTTAGCCACATCTTAGATATGAAACAAAAAATATATTTAAACTTATTTTTCTTTTACCTTATTCCCTATATTAAGAGTTAATAAACTGGTATATTTTTAATTTATTCCATGAACTTTACCTAAATATGATTTGTGTGTGTGTGTTTTTGTTTGTTTGTTTGTTTTAATCAAGAAAATGCAACAGTAATCATTTGGCAACTTTAATTTATTCATTTTTTCCCTCTGGCCTAGGCAGTATTTTACCAAAGCTTCTTTTAGTAGCCTTTTCTGGGGCTATCTACATTGGTTCCGTTCTATTCAGTAGTCTCAGTTGTTGTTTTTTTTCCTGTGAGAGATTATCACTAACATCTATACAAAATTTGGAACAATCCAAAAAGAATTTACATAAATAAATGAAATACAGAGTCTTTTAACATTTTGTAGCTGTTTTTTAGGAGTTTATAATAAATATAAAAGGTCATGTTGCACAGGAAGTATGAATTCCTGCTACTCCCAGTGTGGTCATGGATCGGCATCAACATCACCTGAGAGCCTGTTAGAAATGCATATATATAATATGCTTTTTAAAAATATATAATATATATAAAGAAGCATATATATATAATATGCTTATTTTGTCCTACAGTTCCTAACCAATTTGAGAATCCTTCCATAAGGGAGCTAAACTTAAGACGTTTAAAGTTTTAAGTGATATCACTTTACATTATCACTTCATACAGCAGACGTGTAAATACAACATTGGGCACTTAAATCTCATGATAGAAGTGATCCAGAATATACTTACTGCTGATTTTTTTTTAAAAATTGTCACATGACAATAAGATTTAGAGCTCATGATGGAAAGTTTTTGGATACAAACAATGATGTAGAGCAGGATTTCTCAGTCTCAGCTCTATTGACATTTTGGGCTAGATAATTTCTTAGTTGTGGGATGCACCATAGGCTGTTTGGCGGTGTTTTTACCTCTGCCTGTTAAATGTCAATAGATGCTCAGTTGTGACAGTCAGAAGTGTTTATGGACATTGCCAAATGTCCTCTAAGAGACAAAATCACACGCATACACCACCACCTAGTTGAGAACCACTGATCCAAAGCAATTAGTTAAATTAGTGTTGATGTTTTTTTAAATATGAAGTTCAGATATGTGGAAGCTTATTTGCAGTCTGAATCCAGTAAGTTTTTTAAAACCAAAAGATTTTTCATTATTTTCTGGCAAGCTCACTGGGTAGCCAAACCTGGTCTGAACTAACAAAAGGTATTTAAACTCCTTTAACTGTCTCACTGTCAGTGTCTACACGTGTTGCAATAGAAATATTTATGTGTTTAATTAAAGAATTTGTCCCAGGACCCTCTGGGGGTGGTAAGTACTGCATTTCCAAAATCTGAATTCTAAGACAAATTCCAAAACAGAGTTTTCCAGAAAGGATGATGACTCTGTGTTTAAAAAGCAAATTGATCTTGACCTTTTGCTATTTCTATCATTCTTATACTTTTTTCATGTATTTTTCACAATAAATAGAAAATGTGCTAGGATATATATTTTTCTGCCCCAAACAAAATAATACATAATGCTGTTAGTTTAGGTTTTTTTTTTTCCCCGTAAAGAACTTCACTGATATCTGTTCATTTTTATTATGTGGTTGATGGCCTATGCTTTGTATTACCTTGAATATTTGACATCAATTGTAATTTTTTTCTCTTTGACATTGATTTTTTAACTATAGCTGCTGAAGACCATCATCTTAATATCTTAAACCAGCGGTCGCCAACCGGTGGTCCACGGACCACTGGTGGTCCGTGAGGTCCAAAAGGTTGGCGACCGCTGTCTTAAACTATATGAGTGGTTTAAATTGTAATCTATGTTATTGCTATAAACATAAGTCATTTTCTTTGTAATAGGTTGGCATCACCCTCTTCACTGTGTCTCATAGGAAGTCTCTTTGGAAACACCATGAGGTTTGTATTTCTTACATTTTCTTTCTTTTTCTTTTTATCCTCACCCAAGGATATTCTTTCCATTGATTTTTTAGAGAGAGTGGAAGTGAGGGAGGGGGAGAGATAGAGATAGAGACAGAGAGAGAGAAACATCAATGTGAGAGAGACACATCAATTTTTTGTTTTCCCCATGCACCCCGACCAGGACCGGGGATCAAATTTGCAACCCAGGTACGTGCCCTTGACCGGAAATCAAACCCACAATCTTTTGGTGCATGGACCGATGCTCTAACCATTGGGCCACACGGGTCAGGGTGGTTTGAGATTTATTGGAGTATATTCCCTTATATACATATACCTTAAGGGAAAAGGTTGATTCTGTTTCAGTCTTAGAAAATGAAAGAGGATTTCCTTAAATATTATTGTAATTGTCAGTTTTGAAAGTTACAATATATGTAAACAATCCCTTGTTATATACAATGAATATTAGAGAACCAGTTAGTGGTTCTCCAGTTTTAGGTATCACTATTATATAATAACTGACTAAAATTTGCATAATTTTATCACAGCTGTGGCCAAGTAAACTTTTTCTTACCATCCAGTATTAACAGAAGGGGAAAGAGTCTTCAAAAGGATTAGATCCCCAAAAGTCTAGGGACACTTTTAGTGGAGATCAGGATGACAAGGAAACTAAGTGTTGTCAGCTATGTGCATCATTGCACTGTGATAAAGTAGAATTCATTAGGTAGTCACCACAATTTGCAAAGATATTCTAGTGAGGTTTACACTGTGCAGACATCTTATTCTTGCCATTCCAGCAGTGCCACTCTCAAGATGGCAGGCAGTTCTTTTCAACTCTTAGTATAAAATGATCAAACCGTAAAAATAAACCCAGTTTAATTCATTTTATTATTCTTTAATATATGTTTTTACTGATTTCACAGAGAGGAAGGGAGAGGAAGAGAGAGATAGAAACATAGTGATGAGAGAGAATCATTGATTGGCTGCCTCTCCTGCACGTCCCCTACTGGGGATTGAGCCGGCAATGCGGGCATGTGTCCTGACCGTGATCTCCTGGTTCATGAGTTAATGTTCAACCACTGAGCCACACCAGCCGAGCTCATTTTATTTTATTTCCTTCTTTTTTTCTTTCCCCTTCCTGCTTTCCTTCTTATTTTTCCTTCCTAAAAATACAGAAAATTTAGGTAAAAGAAAGGGTCTGAGAAAAGTTGGGACAGTGGTAAGCATATCTTATCCTATGAAGTACATCGCTGTTTGAGCACCTTTTGTGTCAAGTACTGGGCTACGGTAAGTGTCTGAGGGATTCAGAGTACTATCTTTACCTGCAAGAACCTATAGTTTAGATCAGCAGTCGCCAACCGGTGGTCTGCGGACCACTGGTGGTCCGTGAGCTCCGAAAGGTTGGAAACCGCTAGTTTAGATGACAGTGTACAAATGATAAAATGAGCATGGGACTGAAGTCAGAAAACCTGGGTTCAGACACCACTGTTTCTGGCATCAATTGCTTTCTTTGTGTAATAAAGTTATTGATCCTTATCTGCCTGTCTCATAGATTACCTTGAGGATCAAAGAAACAGCCTATATGAAAGTACTTCATAAGGTGTAGTGAAATTCCATATAGCTGTGTGACTTTTAAAGATAGTTTTGCCCTGGCTGGTGTATCTCAGTAGTTGGAGCATTGGCCCTGGCACCGAAGGTCCCCGGGTTCAATTCCCTGTCAAGGGCACGTACCTGGGTTACAGGTTCGATCCTTTGCCCAGGTCGGTTTGTGCAGGAGGTAACCTATCAAAATGTCTCTCTTGCATCAATGTTTTTCTCTCTTCTTTTCTCTCCCCCTCTCCCTTTAAAAAGCAATGGGAAAAAATACCCTCAGGTGAGGATTAACAACAACAAAAGGTAGTTTTTATCTTACGGCATTATAATTTGTCCATATTTTCATGAATTGAATGAGAGATTGAATAACTAGAAATCAAAGCAGTTTAACATATATCCAAGCCTTTGTGTGTGTGTTTTTTTTTTAATTTTCATCTGAGCATATGTTTATTGACGTTAGAGAGAGAGGACAGGGGTAGGGTGGGGGAGGGAGAGAGAGAAATGTCAATTGGTTGCCTCTCATATGTGCTCTGACTGGGGATTGGATTCACAACCTAGGTATGTGCCCTGATCGATAATCGAACCCACAGCCTTTTGGTATATGGGATGATGATCCAATCAAATGAGCCACCCAGCCAGGGCAAGTCTTTGTGTTTTCTTAGAAGTTCATAAACTTAACAGGACAGTGAGAAGTCTTGGGTTTTACCTCTCCTTGTCTTCTGGAGATATGTATAGATGAGTAGGAAAATAACCATCAGGCCAGTACCATGTGAAGGAGGGGTGACAGGAAGTATAGCAAAGTTAGAGCCAGAATAGCTAAGAAATAAGTATAGAAAACAGGAAAACAGAAGTCTTTTCTGTCAATAAAAAGCCACTAAACAGAAGGTTTTATTAACCACTAGAGGCCTGGTGCACAAAATTTGTGCACGGGGGTGGGGTCCCTCAGCCTGGACTGCACCCTCTCCAATCTGGGACCCCTCAGGGGATGTTCGACTGCTGGGATCGGGCCCCAACCGGCAGTCGGACATCCCTTTCGCAATCTGGGACTGCTGGCTCCTAACCACTCACCTGCCAGCCGGCCTGATTCCCCTAACTGCTCTCCCCTGCCGGCCTGATCCTTCTAACTGCTCTCCCCTGCCAGCCTGATCCCTCTAACTACTCTCCCTTGCCAGCCTGATCCTCCTAACTGCTCTCCCCTGCTGACCTGATCTCCCCTAACCACCTCTGCCTCGGCCCCACCACCATGGCTTTGTCCAGAAGGATGTCCGGAAGGTCGACCAGAAGATGTCCGGTCTAATTAGCATATTACCCTTTTATTAGTATAGACTAGTGGCCCAGTGCATGAAATTCGTGAACGGGGATGTGTGGGGGTGGGGGTTCCCTCACCCCCAGCCTGCACCCTCTCCAATCAGGGACCCCTTGGGGGATGTCCGACTGTTGGTTTAGGCCCGATCCCTAAACCAGCAGTCGGACCTCTCGCAATCTGGCACCGCTGGCTCCTAACTGTTCACCTGCCTGCCTGCCTGATTGCCCCTAACCCCTCTGCCTGCCTGCCTGATCACCCCTAACCTCTCTGCCTGCCTGCCTGATCACCCCTAACTGCCCTCCTCTGCTGGCCTGATCTCACCCCCAACTGCCTTCCCCCGCCAGCCTGATCTCACCCCAACTTCCCACCCCTGCCGGCCTGGTTGCCTCCAACTGCCCTCCCCTGCTGGCCTGATCTCACTCCCAATGGCGTTCCCCAGCCGGACTGATCTCGCCCCTAACTGCCCTCCCCTGCCAGCCTGATTGCCCCTAACTGCCTCTGCCTCAGCCCCCACCACCCTGGCTTTGTCCGGAAGGAATTTGGACGTCCAGAAGATGGCCGGTCGAGCTGGTCTAATTAGCATATTACACTTTTAGTAGTATAGATAGATTATGTAGGATAGGATTGCTTAAATAGGGGGAAAGCCTTTTTCAGCAGGAGGAGATGCTCTTGGCAGACAAAAATACATAATCCCTATATGTGGACTGATAGCCAGCCATATGCACTATATTGCCAAACCGGTCATTAAAAAATTGAACCACTTTCTTAACACCTTACACCAAACAGCTGTTGCCCTTAAAACCCCTCCTCAGCCCCCACCTTAGGTTCTGCCTTCGCAGTTCACCCAGATTAGGTTCTGATTGGTCGGTTTCTATGCCAGTCAGCGTCAAAAGCTCCACCTCCTAGGCAGCCATTGGCTCCTGGCACTTCACCCAGATTTGGTTCTGATTGGTCAATTTCTATGCCAGTCAGCGTCAAAAGCTCCGCCTCCTAGGCAGCCACTGGCTCCTCGCACTTCACCCAGATTTGGTTCTGATTGGTCGGTTTCTATGCCTGTCAGTGTCAAAAGCTCCGCTTCCTAGGCAGCCATTGGCTCCTGGCACTTCACCCAGATTTGGTTCTGATTGGTCAGTTTCTATGCCAGTCGGCATCTATGGGCCTATCAATGGGCCTGATCAGAGAGGCGGGTCTGATCAGCAGCCCCAGCAGAGGCCTGAGAGAAAGAGAGGCACGGCTGCTGGCCAGGCCCCGAGAGAAAGAGAGAGACAAGTGCTGATCAACAGCTGCCATGGAGGCTGTGGATCAGACCCTGCTTCTCTCTCCCGGTCTCTCTCTGGCCCTGATCCACAGCCCCCTCTGCAGTCAGTGCTGGGTCGGGGCGCCACGGCAACCCAGTACTGACTTCCGGTCGGTCGAGCCATCCGTCATTTTGGATGTTACGGACCCTGGCTCTTTATATATATAGATTGTCCTGAGTGTCTTCGTTGGATGGTAGATATAGGGATAGCTCTTTTCTTCCTCTGGCAAATAAAAATAAACAGAAAGCCTTTAGTTAGAGGTTCCAAGCTGACAGGAAACATTATTCTGGAAGCATGAAAGGCTGCTGGATTGAACAGACTTGCACTTGTTGCAATTTGACCTATGGTAGCTCAGGCCCTTGGTTGTAGAAACGTTCTAATTTGTGGGATGCTTATAGATTTGGTTTATTTAAATAGTGAGGAGGTCTAGTGTTTTAATTACAAGCAGAGTTATATTGTTGCTATTTTTTAAAAGAATAGACTTCTTTATTTAGTCTTACCTTGAGAGCTGTATGCGTTTCTGTGTATCAACTTTTAAGAATTTAAGTTTAGTTGCTTAAAATAATCATTTTTAATCATTTACTTGTATAATTATCTCAATTATCTCTACATAAATTCTTGACAAGAAGGAAATTCTCTTAGTTATTGATTTCCCCCCTTCTTTCCCACAGTACTACCTGCATATGGATGGCAGAGGCAATTATGAATTTAAACAGATAACAGAAGATACAGTTGAGTTTGGCTCTTAGAATCCAGAGAACTGTACCTGCTTCAATGAAATAATTACAGAACACACTTAAAATGCAAAGTACATTGTAAAATAAAGTTGAGCTTTTTTAAAACCAAGCAGCAAACTAACTAAATATAAAATAATCGAGAACAAGTTGTTAAAACATTTAATATTATGTAGGATATTGCTAATTGTGTATATGTTGGTTTAATTATTAATATCTACTAAGAATGACCTTATTCTTGTGGTTGAAAAACTGCCTAAATTAACTTGGGCTTAAATCAGTGTCACCTGATTCACCTGGGGATATAAGTCATTGAAAGTCAGCTAATTTGACTCATGGCTTTGTCTTTTCCTTCAATGAAGAACCCTGTTTAAAACGTGTCATCACATGTCCTGTTCTAACAAGATAGCTTTGAGTTTAATTTTCTTGTGCCCCTGATGGTGGGAAGCAAACAAATCATAGTGTATTATCAAAATGTACAGCATCATTGCATAAGAGCATTTATTACACAGCGGCAGGTTTCTTTAGCTGCCACAGTTATACTCATTCCTTGTATATGTCCTGGGGTACATTTGACTCCAGGAAAGCCATTTGAATTTCCTTTGGCCAAATAATAAATGTGTCCCTCTCAATCTTCAGTGTTGAGTTGTTTTAAGGGTTTTTAGAAAAAGTATACCCAGTCTTGCTTACAAAAGGTGGTTACTATGTTTCACACTTACTCTTCCCAATGTTTGGGATATTAAAACACAAAGTCTTTAAATGTCAAGTTCAAGGTCTTAGATGTTTAGATTTTTTAAAAGAATCACGAATTTGTGTACATTAAAGCCCATTCATTAGAAGTGTGGTGGTTACATGGTGTGAAACCCCAAATGAGTCATAAGAATGCACTACATGAACGAACGCACTGAGTATACAACATTATCACTACCTTTGACTGTGATTTTATGTTTTTAAAATGTTATAAAAATATTATGCACATGGGTGAATTATGTTCCCTAGGTACTGTTTTATCTCCATGAATTTTTCATAGCTTTTTAATATTTGGGTTATTATGTTGAACTATCCTAAGAGAAATCGATTTCACCTTACCAGACCACCATTAATGACTACATCTATTATTTGCACAGGGAGAACTGAAACTGAATATTATAAATAAGCTAGATATGAAATCAGTCTTATCAAATGGGGGTTCAGAAAGGGACATTCTTTATTCTTGTTTCTGCATAGCTGGTTTTGTTTTGTTGCAGAATTAATTATAAGAATTATCAGCTACTAAAGTAAAACTTGATTTACTGATTCCATAATATATAACATTCAGTTTTTACCACTCTTTAACAAACTTGTATACTTAATTTCTGTTCAGTTTTTTTTTAAAAAAAAATCATATTCTATACACCCTTTGCTTGTTCTTTTTATTCTGGTATCTAAATAATGGGTAGTTCATACAGCCTTGACTTGAAAAACACAAAAATAAATTAACATTCAAAAAGCCTTTTTTGCACCCAATGTTTCTTTTTTTGAAAAGTTGTGTCAAATGTGGTTTTAATGAAATGAATTTGTCTTTTAGAAAAGCCAGTTAAAACCTTTAGTGTACCTGACAGATGCTACCAAATAGCCAGGAGATCTTAAAATATATTACTAGTCCTGGGAAAGATTTTAAGACATTCGGGAAGTTTGAGATTTTCAGATTTCTAGATTGCCCCAAACCAATAGCTGCTTCCCAGTCCTCTCTATAGTGGATTCTTACTATTAGAATTGTTTTCTTTCTTTTTTAATTTAACAAATATTAAAGCAACTCACCACCTGGGTCATGGGAGGCGCCTCCTGGAGGGTCACGGTGCACAGTAACGGAAGGTGTTTCGATTGTTTCCCAAGTGATGGACCACAGAGCATTGTCTTCCCGTAATTCCTGTGAGCATTTTGTATAAATTGCACAGGAAGATGGAAGTTTAATCTGAAGAATAAACTAAAGAATAAGAACTTCCATCCATGAGCAACACACTGCATATTAAGTATCATTCTGTGTTGCATACCAAACTTCTACTTTTTATATAATCAAAAATTTTTATGTAAGCAACTAAGATTGTTTGCTATGCATTAACGGAATAAATGTGCCTAGAGTTTGCTACTGCAGGGGAAGCATAAATTTACTTCTACCCTCTTAGGGTTTTTGGCTGGGCCTGAGAATTAAATTGTCATGAAACAGATTAACAGGAAAAAATCATGAAAGTTTAAGTTTTATGTGAAACTGGATCCCTCATGAGGATATGAAGACCCAAAGAAGTGGCAGAACCTAAAGGCTTTTTTATACTAGGTTGAACAAAGAGAGGCAATTGTGGGAAAGTAAACAGGAGGCTGAAGGAAGGTAAGAATTCTTTTAATCAGGTTTGTGTAGAATTCTCTGAGTGTCAGCGTCCTGTCCTTGGTGTTAGGAATGTTACTTCTGGTGCAGGAGGGCATCTGCCCTGTGGGGGTTTTAGCTCCTGTTTTCAGGAACAAAAAGAGGAGAGTCTGAGTGCTCCTCTTTCACCTGCTGTTTTTTTATTTTAAGTGCCTTTAGCTCAAATAAGCCAAGGTGGCATGTTTTTGGGGTGGCATATTCTGCCACCCTTCACCTCCTTCCTCCTTAATGATTAGCATTTGGCTTTAAACTGTGGAGATATAGCATCTGTCATTTTCTTATATAATTTTTAACTTTTAAACTTAGTGTTTAAAACTGTAATTTGCCTAAAAGCAATGAATTTTCTTCTATCAGACAGACTTTAGCATCATTAGTTGTAGGAAACTGTTTACATTTTTACCTACATCGGTAATTTTTCCTTTGTGAAGAATTGAAATGTTTTGACCTATAAACATATCATATGCATGTCACTTAAAAAAATATCTAATACTAAAAATTACTAAAAAGCAGTCCTTTCCCACTCACCAGGGCAACCATTCTTAACTTTTAATTGTTTTGTGGTGATTACTTTTTATTTTTAAACAATATGCTAGCTATTTCTTGATTTACCAGTTTACTCATCCCCCACATATAGTTAAGTCATTTTTAAAAATTTGCAAACACTTTAAAAAATATATATATATATATTTTATTGATTTCAGAGAGGAAGGGAGAGGGGGAGAGAGAGAGAGAAACATCAGTGATGACAGAGAATCATTGATCAGCTGCCTCCTGCACGCCCCACATTGGGGATCAAGCCCGCAACCCAGGCATGAGCCCTGACCAGGAATCAAACTGTGACCTCCTGGTTCATAGGTCGACACTCAACCACTGAGCCATGCTGGCCGGACAAAATTTGCAAACACTTTATTGTACTACTAGAGGTCTGGTGCACGAAATTCATGCACGGGTAGGGTCCCTAGGCCTGGCCAGCGATCAGGGCCAATCGGTGGGGTGATTGGGGGGCCCCCACTGGCATCCGCTTTGGCTAGCCTGGCACAGTCCACTCACCGGCCCCGCCCCCTGCCGCCACCGCTGGTAGGGGCCTGCATGCTGGGGGCAGCTCCTGTGTTGAGTGCCCCCTGGTGGTCAGTGCACATCATAGCGACTGGTTGTTCCGCCATTCAGTCAATTTGCATATGGTTTTATTATATAGGATAACACAAATGCAGAAAAGCCCATAACCCTTAAGCTCAATAAGTTTTTAGAAAGTGCACATTCTCATTACCACCCCCCAAATCAAGAAATCACTGTCTCACCTCAAAGGCCTCCCTCTGATCATTTTTCAATTATTAGCCCCTAAAAGCCATTCTGACTTTTATCACATAAATTAGTTTGCCTATTTTTGAACTGTATGTGTACTGCACACCCTTTTGTGTATGGCTTCTTTCCCTTGACTTACCCTCAACTTTCTGAGACTGATCCATGGTAGATGTGGCAAGAGTTCCTTCACTTTTATTGCTCCATCATATGATAGTCCATACGGGATTCATCTTACCAATGATGGGCATTGGGTTTTCTGTTTGGAGCGATTACGAATAGTCCATATAAACGTTTTTATGCATGTCTTTGGTGCACACATATGCGCATATTTTTGAAATGGAACATGTTCAGCTTTGTTATGTACTGCCCAATTGTTCTCCAAAGTAGTACTGTTTCTATACTCTACCATAAATGTATGAGAATTCTAGTCTTCCTAGTCCTTGCCAATGCTTGGTATTGTGAGTGGGTTTATTTTATTTTTACTTATGTATTTTTAGCTATCAATAGTATGTTATTGGCTTCATTTTGCATTTCCCTGATCAGTAATGAGCTTGAACTCATTTCATGTTTATTGGTCATTTGTATATCCTCTTAAAAAAAGGTTGGGAAACTAAGGAGAAAAACAAATAGGACTACATCAAAATAAAAAACTGTTGCACAGCAAAAGAAACCATCAACAAAATGAAAAGGGAGCCCACTGTATGGGAGAATATATTTGCCAATGATACATCTGATAAAGGGTTAGTTTCCAAAATATATGAGGAACTCCTACAACTTAACAAAAGGAAGACAATCCAGTTAAAAAATGTACAAAGGACCTAAATAGACACTTCTCCAAAGTGGACATGCAGATGGCTAAGAGACATGAAAAAATGCTCAAAGTCACTGATCATCAGAGAGATGCAAATTAAAATGACAATGAGGTATCTCCTCACACCTATCAGAATGGCTACCAAAAAAAAAAAAAAAAGGACCAGTGCTGGCAATTATGTGGAGAAAAGGGCACCCTAGTACACTACTCGTGTGAATACAGACTGGTGAAGCCATTACGGAAAAGAGTGGAGTGTCCTCAAAAAATTAAATATGGAACTGCCATGTGACCCAGTGATCCCACTTCTAGGAATATATCCTAAGAAACCTGAAATACCAATTAGAAAGAATGTATGCACCCCTATGTTCATAGCAGCGCAATTTACAATAGTTAAGATCTGGAAACAGCCCAAGTGCCCATCAGTAGACGAGTAGATAAAAAAGCTATGGTACATTTACACCATGGAATACTATGCAGCAGTAAAAAAGAAGGATCTCTTACCCTTTGAGACAGCATGGAAGGACCTGGAGAGTATTATGCTAAGTGAAATAAGCCAGTCAGAGAAAGACAAGTATCACATGATCTGGCATGTGGAATCTAATGAATAAAATAAACTTGAAGAAAATAGATCCAGAGACATAGAAACATGGAACAGACTGTGAAATCTCAGAGGGAGGGCAGGAGTGGGTGGGAAGAGATCAAATAAAGAGCTTGTATGCATATATGCATAACCCATGGACACAAACAATAGGATGGTGAAGGCCTGGGGCAGGGGGCAGGGTGAGCTAGAAGGGCTCAATGGGGGCAAAAGGACAGAACTAAGGAGATGGTGACGTGGGACACTACCCATTAGGGGAATAGGGCAAGGGGACTCCCAGGGGGAAAGGAGATATCCAAGGGGCTGGTGTCTAGGGAATGTTGCTCAGCAGCAATTGTTCCGAAGGGCAGCTGTGGTTGTCTACTGTTAGCAGATGTTAGATTCAGTGTTGTGGGGTATGTAAAGCAGGTGGGCTCTGATTGGCTAACAATAAAGCTTTGCCCTTACTGGTTTGGCTCAGTGGATAGAGCGTCGGCCTGCGGACTGAAGGGTCCCGGGTTCGATTCCTGTCAAGGGCATG